TTACATTGTAATATTACATTGATTGTAATATTGTAATATTACATTGATTTGCGCTGTGGGGTATTTGTGTTAAATGGTGTGAAAACGTGTTGCATTCTTTTATGTTGCATTTGTTTAACTCTGTGAAGTTGTATTACTTTGCTTGCTTAAAACACCTGATGGGTCTAATAGAGAGCTGACCAACCAATAGCTAGGCAGTAAAGTATTAGGCAGAACTGACAAGCAGGGAGAATAAATAGAAGGTGAAAAAGAGGAGGAACAAGAAAAGGAGGAGGGAAGGATGCCATGGGTCAGCCACACAATCAGACATGGAACAAGAAAGAAAGAAAAGATACACAGAAATAAAGGTGAAAGCCCAGAGGCAAAAGGTAGATGGGATAATTTAACTTAAGAAATACTGGCTAAAAAACAAGTCAAGCTAAGGCTGGGCAATTATAAGAAAAAGTCTCTGTGGATTTATTGGGTGGCAGGCCCCAAAGAGCAAAGAGTAAGAGAAGAAAAACCCACAACTACACTAGTAGTTTTTCATAGAGCCATGGGTGACTTTTAAAAGTTTAATTTTAATGTTTTAATTGATATAGAATTACATTACTTAACCCCTGTTCTCTTTCCAACCACCCTCAGCTAACCCTCTTTAAACCCCTTCATGTCTCACAACTCTCACATTAGTAGCCTCTTTTCTTTGATTAACATTGGTGTGTGTGTGTGTGTGTGTGTGTGTGTGTGTGTGTGTGTGTACAGTCTGCTTGGCCTATTTTTGTCCATGGTGTGTACATGGTTTCAAGGCTGACCACTCTACATTGTATAACCAATAAAGAGGCTCATTCCCAAAGAGGTGAATTCTCCTTCTACCTGCAGTCTTTCCTTGCCTGTAGTTCTTTGTCTAAGGATGGGGCCTGGCCAAGTTTTACTCCTTCCACATTAACACAAACCTTGACATTGCTGTTGCTGCAGTCTTGTTTGTGCAGACATTTCTAGGAGAGACTATTCCACTGAAGTCTTCCTGGTGTCCTGGGTCTTACTTTCTTTCTTCCTCCTCTTTCTCCATGTTCCCAGAACCATAGATGCGAGGACTGGGATAAGATGTAACCACTGGGGCTGGGTTCCCCACATCTGTCAATCTCTGCATTGTGGCTACTTGCAGTTTTCTGTGATGGTCTCCATTTGCTGTAAATGGAGGCTTCAGTAATAAGGGAGGGTTGCTACATTTATCTGTGGTATAAGAATAAGATTTAGGATGCTAAGGAACTATGCTTGTCTAGCAAAGCAAAGCAGCAGAAGTCAGTTCTTTTCTAAGGTCTATGACCTCACCACCCTTGCATAGTTGGATAGATTTACAGTTCTGGGGCATTATTTCCCTCCTGTTGGGTGGGTCTTCAGTGCAATTAGACAGCTATTGGTCGCCATTAACAAGTAAGTGCTACTTACTGCACCTTTATGCATATTTTGACATGCTGGTAATGGCCATGATTCATGGGTATTGCACCTGACTAGGACTGGTTAATTGGTTCCTTCCTTTGGCAGACTGCATAGTATTTTCTGAAACCATGGAAACTAGACACACCCAGTTCAAATTATCTGAATCCTATGTCCTGAGTAAACAGTATCTTCAGCAACAGAGGTCTCTTCTTAACCCCTGAGAGGCAAGCAAGGGCTAGATCAATAATCTATAATGTTTTAGAAGTCATTTGGACAACATTGATCAACCATTTGCAAAGAGGGTTTATTATGCTCGGTACTAAGGTTTTGTTTGTTTATTTTGATAGTCTATAGTACATGTGGGGAACATTGTAAGCCAGAGCATCTTAACTTTCTTTAAATATATATGTGTCCATACATACATACATAAATGTATACATATGCACATACATACATGCACATAATATGTATACACATACAAACATGTGTGTGCATATACATACAGATATGCATTGTGTATAATTTTAGGTAAATGTAAAATAAATCTTGATAATGTGATGCATGGAGGCTTTACCGAACAACTTTGGAGCCATTTGGCCCTCACTCCTCCTTCTCCTTCTGTATTGACGTCCCTCTCTCCTACCCAGCTGCAACTCCTTCCCTGTTAGTTTTCTACTTCATATCACCTGTATCCTGCTATGCCCCTCCTAGGACCCTTCACCACCTATGTTCCCTTTATACTTTTCTGAGTACTCCATCTTGTATACTCACTGCTGAGGATTTGGATAGGAATCTCCAGTGAGACAGAACATGTGTTTGTTTTCCTGACTCTGGGTTACCTTAATCAACAGAATCTTTCCAGGATCCATTCATTTACCTGAAACAGACGGATAGTCATAGAACAAAAAAGAAGACCCAAACATACATGAGTACTCATAACTACAACAATCTGTTATTGACAAGAGATGTATTTGTGTGTGTGTGTGTGTGTGTGTGTGTGCCCGCACACGCACATGCACCCACGTGCAAAGGCAGCAGCATCTTCCACAATTGGTGATAGAAAAACATGAATGTCCACATGCAGAAAATGCTATTTTGCATATCATGTCAAGAATAACTTGTAAACGTTTGATTCAGGATAAGTTGCTTCCTCTCGTTAGGCATAGTGAGAAGTGCAAATGTTTTCCTTCTTTTTAACAATGGCAATGTGCTCAACAATTACTAAGTATGGCCTTTGAGACTATTCATAGATGTTTCTAGTTCTTTATAAAAATGTTTTCAGAGATTGTTGTAGAATAGAATATTATTTTAACTATGTAAATATGTGTCACATTTGTTTATGTTACAGAATATTGCTTTAACTATATAAAGATGTGTTGCATTTGTTTATGCTGTATTTGTTTAATTATGTAAAGATATGTTGCTGTTTCACCTTACCTTCCTAAGGCACCCAATTGGTCTAATAAAAGTCTGAATGACCAATAGCTAGGCAGTAGATGGATAGGCAAGGTGGGAGGGCAGAAAGAATAAATAGGAGGAGGAATCTAGACTCAGGAAGAGAGGAGAGAACAGTGGAGAAAAAAAGGAGGACTCCTAGGGTCAGGCAGGCAGGCAGCCACCAGCCAGTCAGCCAGAGTAGAATGTACAGAATGAAAGAAAAGTAAAAAGCACTAAGGCAAAACCTATATGAAAAGAAACAGGTCAAAATAAGTTATAAATGACAAGATGAAGACAAGCATTTATAACTAATATGATCTCTGAGTCATGATTTGGGGGCTGGAGGTCAAAAAAAGCCTACTACAGAAGACTTTGTATATTTTTATTTTATGTATAAGTATTTTGCCTGCATGTATGTCTGACCAGAGTGCATGTGCAATGTTCCAGAGGCCAGAAGAGGGTGTTGAATCCTTGAAACCACATTTAAAGATGACTCTGAACCCCTATTTATGTGCTAGGAATCAACCCTGGTCCTAAGCCACTGGGTGACCTCTTTAGACTAATTATACTTGAACTTTTAGTCAGTCCTGTTTGGAAACAATCATTGTCAAAGAACCAGGGACCACTTAGTCCACACACAGCAGATTTTTAACATATTCACATAAATCACAATTCTAGTGCTTCAAAGATGTGAGGTTTTTTTTTTCTACAGGAAAGCGGTAGATTCCCAGGTGTTTGGACCTTCCTCTGATTAGCTCCATTCATCACACCACCATATCTGAACAGTTCATTTCCTACTGGAGAGCAGTGTGTATCACTGTTCAAACCATGGCAACTGAAATCAGTGAATGCTTAAGGTCCATGCTATATATATAAGCTTAAGGTCCATGCTATATCATGTCCTGGAAGCCTTCCAGTTGAAGAGGAATCTAAATAAAAGAACCAAATAGCTAGTGATAACAGCCTGATCACTAAAACAAACCCACAAGCAGATGAAATTATTGCATGTAATGAGTACTGGACTCAAGGACATGTCTCTAAAGCTTCCTTTTACCATCATTCAGTTCTGAGGTCTTGGACAACTGGTCTCTGCCTTTATAAAATGAGGAGATGAAACTACCCACCTCACTCTTCTATGCTAATCAACTGACTCAGAAGATGTGAACACACTAACACCGATATGCCAGCCAAATGTAAACAAGCATTAATTTAGGTCAGTCATATTATGTAATTGCCTTTCAAACGAATTTTTTTCTCAATGACTCACTAATCCTTTTTAAATTGGTTTAGGGTTCTGTTCATGGAAATAGCCATTTCTTAATAGAGATGACACATCTGGTCAGGATGTATCACAGAACTTAAATAGTCTCAGGCCAGTTATAGCAGCTTGCATCTCTTGCCTTCATATTACTACCTTTTACCACTTTCAGCACTTCAAGAATAATAAGCCCTAGTACTTCCATTTGTCTTCTCAACTGAGAACCTATGTTCAGAAACCCTGGAGTTCTTTCAGGATAACAATAACCTGGTTTACACTTTTATTTATTTGTCTTACTGACAGTAAGTCCCTGATCACATGATCTCAGAATTGGAGTCAACCATCCACCCCAACTCCTTTCTGTAAAATGAAGTTTCCTAAGGGATCCCTGGCCACAATCACCTTGGTTCCCAAGCCACATGAAGACACAACTGAGAAAGAAAACTACAGACCAATATCCCTCATGAACATCGATGCAAACATACTCAATAAAATACTGGCAAATCGAATCCAAGAACACATCAGAAAAATTATCCACAATGACCAAGTAGGCTTCATTCCTGGGTTGCAGGGATGGTTTAACATACGAAAATCTATCAACATGATCCACCATATAAACAAACTGAAAAAGAAAAACCATATGATTATCTCACTAGATGCTGAAAAAGCTTTTGAACAACAAGGCCTCACTCTACAGTCCCTTAATAAGGAATGTTTTCTCTTAGAAGTCTTCTTGGTGCTTGATAACATAATGACTTTTGCTTTCGTGTCACATGGAAATAGAATAATTGCAGAGTGACATCATAATAAGGTCTGAGGTTCTCAAAGTGGGGTGGTCACCACTGATTTCTTAGCAGAACTTGATCAATCTTGAGGATCTTGCTAAGAAACTCTGGGCTGAAGGAATCCAGGCAGAGGAGCTGCATTGCTTCCCATGGAAAAGTCAAAAGTATTCCTCCTGGCTTTCTTGGCCACTAGCTTTTTCTCATGTAAGAATCTGTCAGAGAATACCAGGGAAGGAACAAGCTTTTAATATCCCAGGGTGGGGGAGCACATAAATAAGTACTTCTACTCATATGTAGAAAATTTTGGAAACCTGAGTTTTTTCTTTTCCTCAGAGATGAAGAATTTAATATCTTAACTTAGGTTTTAAAGCAACAGTCTATGAGGACTGCAATCAATATGAGAGATAATTTGGCCTTCTGTGTTGGCTATCAGTGTTTGTTTCACTCTTTTTCTTTCTAGTTCTTTCTCCTCAATTCTCATGTGTATGTGGGGGGCAACTGGTGTGCATACACAACACATTTTAAACAAAGTAACATCAGCTTTGGAAATAGCTTACTATTGAAGGACTAAGGTTGTCAAATCTCTGAATGTCTCAGCATGCATCTGCTAACATCTGAAGTAGATGATGTAATTTGCCACATCAATGATAGGGTAGAGGGCCAGGTGAAGGGATGTCCCAGTAGCAGGGCTTGAAAGAAACCAATGTTGTAAAGCAGAATGTAAAATACAAAGCTAAAAGAATCATTAATAATTTGGGTAACTACCGACATAGGATCTCCTCAAAAATGAGCTTCCTTACCAACAGGTAGAAACTATAGAAAGGAAGATTTTATTAGAGACAGAGATAACCAACGAAGGTGGCATCTACGGTGTCTGTCAACAAACAGCTGGGATGATATGAAGAATTAGTCCTTTCTCAGAAACAAATCTACTCAATACCAGTAGTGTATAACATTGCTGAGTCCCTGATGATGAAGCTTTTGGTTATGTCCTGCTTAAGGTCGGCAGTAAATTTAGGAATATGTCAAGTTTGAGTTTTTAGACAAAATATCAAGACTCTTTTGAAAGGTATATTATTTTATATATTTGGATGTTTTGCCTGCATGTAAGTCTATGCCTGGTAACCATGAAGGGCAGAAGAAGGCCTCAGATCCCCTGGAACTGGAGTTACAGATGGTTGTGTGTCGCCATGTAGATGCTGGAAATTGAATCCATGTCCTCTGTGAGAGCAACAAAAGCTCTAAACTGCTGAACCATCTCTCCAGCCGGAGAATGTCTTGAACAAGAAGAGAGAAAGGAAACAAATTTGGGGATCAGGAGTGTTTCAGAACTTTGTGTGAAGGAGACAGCTTTCTCAGTTCTATGATCCATATTTATGTGACTGACTTGAGTGACACATTTCAACACCTCATTGTTTTATTGGATACTTTAACATTTTTATTACAGATATTATTGGTGACATGTCATTTAAGGTAAGTTCACCTCTGTATAAGAATATTTTCCCACTCTTGTAATTTCTTTTATTTTAAGCCATATGGTCATTAGCATATGGTTAACCTTGTGGTTAGCATCTGGTCATTTTCAGTCTTCATGATGTCAGTTTCATTCGATTCATACTCAGGAACTCTGTCAAAATCAATCCCGGGGGTCAATGAGACACTCTCATATCCTTTTAGTCATTGACAAAAAGAGCTCCTAACTGGTCCCTCTTTCTATCTGCACTGACTCTCTTAATGCTAACCTGCTCCAAGCACTGGCACACAATGGTCACTTGTTTGAGAAAAAAGAGTTATGTAGTTGCATCAGAAGCCAAATAGCTGAAAAAAATCATGAAATATTTGCCACCTAGCTCCAAAGAGATGATTTTGGCCAAACTCAGCTTTAATCTTGAGAATGGAGTCTTTACAACAGAAACCTAAGTGAAATGTCTTTTTATTCAAATCATTGACTCCTAATGTTCTTAAGATAATGTCCTGTGTACCTCACAGTGCCTCTTCTCCAGGAAAGACGCCTCACCTATTTTTTTTCTAGATTCTAGTTAATAGTGTATGAAGGCAACATGCTATTTCATTTGTACTATTGAGTATATAATTTATTCTAATTTTTAAATTTAGGGAATTTGCATACATGAGTAATGTATTCATATCACCTCTGCTCCACCAAAGCCACAGGGAAACATAATTTTATAAGTTTACTTAAGAATACATATACTTGTCTCTAACTAAAAATACTTGTAAAGGCCAAAGGGATGGCTCAGTGATTAAGAGCACTGGTTGCTCTTCCAGAGGACCAGGTTCATGTTTTTAGGACCCATATGGTGGTTCACAGCCAGTCTTAACTCCAGTCCTTAGAGATTAACCACATTTTCTGGACTTCAAGGGTGTTAGACATGCACACAGTGCACATATATACATATAATCAAAACACTCATATACATAGAATAAAAACAAATCTTTAAAAAAAATACTTGCCAGGTAATGGTGGCACACACCTTTAATCCCAGCACTCGGGAGGCAGAGGCAGGCAGATGTCTATGAGTTCTAGGCTAGCATAGAATCTATCAAGCATACCATCCTGAAAAAAAGAAGATAGAAACAATATTTCCCTCAAAGAAGTCAAATAGTTTCAGTATTCTAATTAACATGATAATGAAGCTCTAATTTTTAAAAATTACTGCTATTCTATAATGTTTTAGAAAAATGTAACTATAATTTCAAATTTATTATTGAAAATTATGCTTAAGACAAATTTACAGTGTTTACAAAGTTCAAAACTTGCCAATTTAAAGAAAAAAATATTTTAAAGAAACATATCAAATGGACTTGGGAGGAATTGTAATTGAAGTGACTGAAGCTTTGCAGACAGCTCTGTACTGGGAGGTTCCAGAAGCTTCCAGAGCACGGAAAAGTCTGGTGTGCTGCATGAATGTCCTGTGTGTTGGTCTGCTAGAGTAAGACAGTGCAGCAGCATGTGCCTGATCAGTGTGCTGCACAATGTTCTGACTTTCTAGCCTCCCTTCTTCCTGTAGATATTCTAATATCCACAATACCCCAGGGAAAGCGTATACTACTTCATGCTATCGAGGAAAACAAAATGGTGGGCAAATATTAGAACTATTTGACCATCACAACTCCTTCCTTTTCTATCCCAGAAACCCTATTCCCAGAGGCCTGTACTACACCCTGTATTTGGGATAGGAACACATACTATGTTCCCAGGAACACCACAGCTAAAATATGTCTCTGAAGAAATAAAACCATTGCCACAACAATAAAAATGCTAACCCAAATGGTTCTCTACCCTTCTAATAAATTTTCAGTACAGCCAAGGGTCTGGGCTAAGCAGCTTCAGTTACCTTACAAAATGCTAATCACAAAGGCCTGGCTTACTGAATTTATCAAAATATAGTTTTGATATTTGAGGTTTAAATGGGAGACATTTTACCATTGCTCTCCTTTGCATAAAAGAAAATCCCCAAATACTTTACGTTAGAAGCAGTTAATGGATCATCAGAGGACAGGATGTTTAACCTGTGAGTTTTGTTTTAGGTCATTTCGTGCAGTCATTATCAAAAGAAGTATGTGCAGAAGAAACACATATGCTCCATAAGAGTCAGCCCATTGTGTGCTTCTAACAATGTTACCTATCCTAATTCCTGTGTGTACTGCTTCGCCAACATGTAAGTTGATATGACACCCAAACCAGAACCCCTTGGAGAGTCTAATGTGTACCTGATATACAACAGCTAATTGGTATTTGCTATTTGAAAAAATTGCATATCAATTACTCAAGATATGAACCTGAAACTAAAAATTGGCATGACACTGGCTGAACTCCAGGGTTGTGTGAGAAGTGTGGCACTGAGTCCCACCTCCATGCTCATAAGAGAAACTTTTCTGAGTATGCTTTGAACATTAGTTTTATTAGGAGAATGGATGTTGAAAATTATCTTTGAAAATGATTGAAAAAAAAAATCACCCTTGACAAGATCAGACTAAAGAAAGAAGTCTTGGTATTCAAGGTCAGAGGCTTTAGGCTGAGTCCTGTCCCTGTGTAAGAGAGATCAAGAAGTCTCATAATTTCTCAGTCCTCATGTTCTTATCTTCAATTCTAACATCTGTCCTGTTTTCCCTTCACTCATCCTTATGCTCCAACCATGCTAACTCTTCTTTCCAGTTATTTTCAAATATATAGAGCCTATTTCTGCTTCCAAAACTTTGAACAAAATTTCTTCTCTTCAACAATATTTCCCCAGGTCCTTCTCAGGGCTACAGTTTCTTTATTGTTTGTGCTTCAACCTAAATTGATCTCTTTTTAAGTGGTAAATCTACACTCTCAGAGGAAAGGAGTCTTCCTGAACACCGATACAATGCACCTCTGGTGTTTTTCATATTAAATCTTACCTTTCTTTCATAATACGTGTAGTCTTCTAATATTTTAATTTTCTGTTTCTTATTTCTAATCTGTTGCCATACATAAGCTGCATTAAGTAAAAAAAATGATAGATAGCTATTGCTGAATTTTATACAGTGCCTGTGTCAACTATGCCATTAATAAGTGTTTATTTAACAAACTAAGAAGCTAGTGCTTCTCAAGAGAGAGTATAACAATGGGTGTCAAATTCACTTCAAAACTTAAAGCACCATTGTGGCATTTAAAGAAAATGTTATAACTTGATATTTTGCTTCAGTGTCTTAAGACATATTATTAGAAGTAAAGACTCTAGTATGAGTGACATGGGTTTTGATCTCAACTTATGTCTATGTGGTTTAAGACATATTAATATCATAATTACCTTCCCCTCAGAGACTGGCAATGTTAACTGAAAAGATAATACCTAAAGAAGGCTTAGCATAGTGGGCCTTAGTAAATAATAGCTTATGTCATTTGTGGTTGCTACCAACTAGAGACACAACCATCCCAATTTTACTGGGTCTGAGGGTTTTCCTAGGATATGATGTTTTGACAAAGGATGGTGATGAAACACCCAGAATGGGTGATAGCTTACCATCATTTTGTCTTCACAGTCAGTGCAGCTGTTGTATTTTCCATATTTATTGAATCTTTTTAGCCAGTTAACCTGTTCTACAGTTTTCCCCAATAGTACAAAAGTATCTTCTGGATATCACAAGGCCTCATTTAGTAGGTTTTCAGGATAATTCTGTGACATGGATAAGAATTCCTCTGAACAAACTAAGTACATGACTGTTTTCCTAAATTGACCCTCCACTTCCATTCTATGTTCACATTCACTGCCTAACCCCTCTCCTGAAGCTCAAGGTCTGGAGCAAAGAAAAACCTCTGAGACTTAAGAACTTACACTTTACATTTTAATACAATAATATTAAATACGAAGTCCCATCTCTTAAAGACTAGTACTACTCCATCTCAGGGCAATTATTTAATCTACCTATATCTATCTCTATCTATCTGTCTCTCTGTCTGTCTGTCTGTCTATCTATCTATCTATATATATATCTACTCATCCATTCATTATCTATTTTCCTTTTATTGAAAATAGGTTCTTCCAAGACAGGCTCCAAAAGCTACACAGAGAAATCCTGTGTCAAAAAAACAAAAAAAAAAATTTAAAAAAATTTAAAAAGATTCTTTCCTCATACAATATATCCTGATTATAGTTTCCCTTCCCTATACTCCTCCCAATTTTGACTCCCTTCTGGATTCACTCCCTTTCTGTCTCTCATTAGAAAATAACAGGCTTCCAAGAGATAACAAGAAAAATGTGACAAAATAAAAAACATAATGCAATATGATAAAACAAAAGCTATCATATTGAAGTTGAACACAGCAACCAAACAGGAGGAAGAGTCCCCAGAGTACGCACAAGAGTCAGATACCCACTTAATCACAGTCAGGAGTCCCGTAAAAATACTAAGCTAAAAGCTGTAATATATATACACAGAGGACCTGGTACAGACCCCTGTAGGTTCTGTGCTTGCTGCTTCAGAGTCTGTGATCTCTTGTGTACCTTCCTTAGTTGACTGGGTGGGCCATGTTCTCCTGGTTCTCCATCCCCTCTGGCTCTTAAAAAAATCTTCGTGGAATTTCCTGAGCTCTGAAGGGTGTGATTTGGTGGACAGCACCCATTTAGAGTCTTTTTCTGCACAGAGTCAGGCTCTGGGTCTCTGCATTTGTTCCCATATGCTGCTGGAAGAAGTCTCTGATGATGACTGGATAAGACAATGATTTTTGTGTATAGCAGAATATCATTAGGAGTAATTTTATTGATATTTTTTTCCCTGACCAGTAGGGTTTGGTTTTACCCCAAGTCTCTGGGCTATCTGGTTTCTGGTTCTTGGTTACCCTAGCACTTATGGATTTTATCTTGTGGAGTAGGACTTAGATCAAATCAGGATAATTTTCTTTTTTTAAAATTTTTTTATTTATTGTATATAACAAAGTCCATTTAAATGAAAACAAACATTTATAGACAATATTTGGGAATTTGGGCGTTGTTCTTTCCAAACTACTTCCTTCTGGTAAGGGGTGTTGTCATGGGGGAAATCAACCCCTCTACAATGTGAGCTTTCTGACCCAGCAGGTCCTGCCGCCTTTCTCATCCTCAAAGAAACACATGAACACTATATTTGTTATGAAGTTGTTGGCCATTGACTAAGGTTCTTATTGGCTAGCTCTGTCTTAATTATTAACCCATAACTACTAATCCATATATTTCCACGTGATTCTGGCTTACTGAGGAATGTCGGACCTGCAACTCCTTTGCCTGTTACACGATGACTGCTCAGTGTCTCTGCAGAGAAGAAAGGAGAGAGATTTCCTACCTATATCCTGATTCTGCCCAGCTATGTAACTTCCTGACTTTTTGAATTGATCTCCAGACCTCTACGGTTAGCTGGTGGCAAGTTTCTGCCAAGCTATGCTACTTGTTGCCTGGCCAAACAGCCAATCAGTGTTTTATTTATTAACCAATAAGAGGAACAAATATACAGAAAGATTTTCCCTATCACACCTCCAACCCTTGGCAGCTAGTGTCTGGAAACTTCTGGCCTACTTCCTGTCATTACAATTTTACCTATTCTAGACAATTTTTATAAATGAAACTATATGAAGCCTTTCATTTCTGGATTTTGGTTGCTTGGATGACTTTCTCCAGACACATTCATGATGTAGGAAACATTAATTCTTTGTGTCTTACTATGGCTGACATTTGGATTACTCTTTCATCCATTAATGAACATTAAGTTATTATTTAAGGCCAATGTGAATAATGCTATTACTTTCACATGCAAACATGTATTTAGACATATACTGCTATTTTTCTATGAGCATAATTCTATGAGTGGATGTTCTAGGGGGCAGATGGTAAGTTTGTGCTTAACATTTTCAGAATCATCAAACTTTTTTTCAAATTAGATACAATGTTTTAAAGTGCCACTACCATGATACCTTTGCTAATGCTTATTATCACCCATCATTTTGATGATAATCATGCAGGTGGGTAGAAAGTTATATCTGACATCATGTTTTATATTTCCCTAATGACCAATGTAGGTATTATTTCATACACTTAATAGTAATTTATATACTTATCCAAATTCCTTTCTCACTCTCTAGACATATTATTAATGATTTTTATGGTGGAAATGCAAGTGTCCTTCATTATGGGTACAATTTCCATGTGATATGTTAACTTCAAATCTTTTTTCTAGTATATGAGTTGTCCTTTCATATTACTAATCATGTTCTTTAAAGCACAGAAGATTTTAATTTTGATAAAGTACAGTCAATCTTGCACTTTGGGGTCATTGTTTAACTTAGGGACATGAAGATCGACAAGTATGTTTTAATCCAATAAAAGAGTGGTGGGTTCTACTTCCAAGTCCTTGGAGGTTTACTTTGAGTTTTTATTTGTTTTGTTTTTGTTTGTTTATAGGGACGATTGAATGAGTTAGGCATTATGAGATTCGGGCTTTTACACGTTTTTAAAGCTTTTGCACATGCATACATTGATTATTAAGCCTTTTCTTCATCACAGTCTCTATTTCCCTTTTCTGGCCCTTTGTCCCTTAGGTGTTTCGCAAATATTTTCATGACATGTGTTTAGATATGCACACACACATGCATATATGTATGACTTGGTGTGCACATATAAAACAAGAAACCATAAATGAGAAAAGGCATATAGTATTCATCTGAGACTGACCTCATTTACTTAATATAATTTTTTTCAGTTGCATTCATTTTCCCACCACAATTCCATTTCTCTATGCAGTTTATTTGGGTTTTGTGTGATGCTGATAGTATTAGGGCATTCAGCTTTGTTTTGTACATGAACATCCAGTTTTCCCACAAACATTGTGGGGTTAAAGTTGACTCTTTCCTTTATTGAATTGTCTTAACAGTTTTATTAAAAATTGTTTGACTACAAATATTCATTTTTAAGCTCTCAGTTCTTTAAGTGTATATGTCCTTTATCTCAATACTTCACTGTCTCAATTGCTATAGTTTCTTCTCTGTTTGGAATTAGTAAGAATGGGTTGTTGTTTCAGATTATTTGGTTATTTTGCATCCTGTGCTTAGGAAGCAGTAGAGATTTTTTACAGAATAATTCACAGATGTCAGCACCATAGCTCTGAGACTTAATACTAGGAAAAGTTAAATACTGTAAAAAATCTAGCTTGTATAATTTATTGTACATTTAAAACTAATATTTCCTGACAAATACTTGGTTATGTTTATATAACTGTGGCTGCAGATGACAAGGCTATGAATATCAGTTCTCCAATGCCCTTTACAGTCAAATATTTCCCAAGCTATTTTTCAAAGAGTTCTTAGCATCTCTTTACACAATAATGAGACTACAGCTTGTAGTTTTCTCAAAACAAATGTGCATCATTTGGCATGGTGGTGTGGCCATTTCAGAACCCTTGTCAGTGTTGCGCCTTGATATTTGTTCCCCCTTTGCTCTCCTGCTCATTTATCCCCCTCCCAGGCCAGCCCAGAGTTGATCCTACTTCTCCTGCACTATTTTTGAGGAGTTCCCACATAGCTATCATCTGGCTTACACTCTCATAGTTGGCTTCTTTCAGCCTTTAGTTTTCCTCTCCTCAGATTTTCTGGGAACTAAAAATGTGAGCCCAGGTCATATTTGTGATAGAGTGGGAGGGCAGAGACACTTTTACCTCTCCCCACATGTGGCCTCCCTCCTCGTTCTAGCCCTAGCAATGTTTTTGATTAATACTGTACCCAAAATCTGTGACTTTGTTTTGCTTAAAGTTTCATTACTTGTTCGCATTTATTTAATTTGTTTGTTGTAATGTTTGTGATTGAATCCACGTGTTACACATGGGGCAATAACTCTCTTATTGAGTTATACCCAGATCTCCACATATACCAACATAATTTTTCAAAAATCTTATGTATTTAATGTCAAGTTTTCTAAAAACAACTCTGTTGCATAATATTAAGCTTAAAAAGGAAACTGCCATATATATATACATATATATATATATATATATATATATATATGTTACAGGACTTTAATGTAGATGAATTACATATAAGCAAATATAAAGTATTAAAAGAATATGTGATTTTAACTTAGAATGTATTACATACCAGATTATATACTTGGTTCTACTTAGCAATTATCTACTTCACTATTCAAAACTGTCTTACAAAGTAGATATAAAAATGTCTACTTCTAGTTTTATATACAATAAAACAAACCTAGTGAGACTTGGGATTTTTCCAACTTAGAAATAAATCTGCAAATTTGATCTATACAAGAAGCAGGCTTAGCTTCCCATTTTATTATCTCAAGATTAGAATTTCATATCTGTACAGGGATCTAGAATTTTACAAAAACAGCTTCTTGGACCAAGTCCTTGCATAGCAGATATAAAGCCTTAAATTTTATTCTGAGTACCACAAAACTTCTTTTTAACTGTCATATGAATGTTTAATAAGCACCTTGTGAATTCCAGACATTGGTGCTAGGTGTAGTGAAAGCAAAGCAAACATCCAACAAGGTGCTATCACCCTCAAACTATTGTTTCAAATAGTATAGATACAAGTCTACTTTTATGAGAAAATAATTTACCAAAGCAAGGTCCTTATAATCTCATGATAGTACTGTGTAATAGGTTAGGCATGGGGGAGTCATTACCTTTTATATATAAAAACAGACTCCAAACTTAATATTCTTGTCCAAGTTTATATTGAGTATATTTATAGACAATGGATGTTTTCATAGTTTCAAATGAGTTTTATGTGGATATTTTTAGTTTTTAAAATGCTGGACCACTTTTATATTTAATATGAGTGTAAAGCCCACTGAAAGTAACATGTAGTATTTGGGTTTCCCTTGTAATTACGATTCTGTTGATAAACATTTTCACTGATTTTTCTATGCTCCCCTGATTTATTTTGTGACCATCATGTTATCTTTCTCATGATAGGGTATACCCCTGTTTATAGTTTATTCAGCATTTTCACAGTGAGTCCTCCACCATCTATGTCAGTAGGTTACCAATGTCACAAAATTTTATAGATCTGATCATTATAATTCAGGGAAGTGAAAATTTTTCCCAGGATACATCAACTTCTTGATTCCCACATCTTCTATCTGTTAGGACACAGGTTTTTATCTTTGCTAAAAACTCATAATTATTCACTATGGTTACAAAACAAAGGGATCTCCATGGCAGAAGGGTGCAGAAATGTTTAGTGAGGTGAGAAGAAAAATCTCTGTAGCTCAGGTCCATGTGTAAGTCAGAAGCTTACAAATCAAAGCTCCTGTCCCTTACAGTAATTATACAATTAGAGTAAGGAGAAGCAAGGTTATATTTTATACAAATTGTGTATAAATATTTAAATCACTTCTCCTTAGAGCTTTGGATTTTTCGCTTCGAATCCAATACAGTGGAAAATGTATGAAGCCCACTTCTTGATTATTCTTCATTCATCACAAGTGAGACATTTGAATCAAGCATCACCTTTTCTTCATAAAACAAAATTTATTATTATTACTTTACAAACCAATAAATTTGATCCTATGAAAGCTCTTCTTTGGCTTGAGATATAATTAATGGGACATGTGGGAACTATGTTTGATTCTAGAAATAAAACATTAAATTGAAACTTATCCCTGACTGAAAAATTAATAGTTTTAAAGAACTAATTGAGCTACTGGACATTTGCCAAGAAATACTATTTTTTCATGAGAGTCAGAAATTTGGCCAGATTCTTGGGTGTCAATTGTAACAACAACAGCAAAAAAAAAAAAAAAATGCATGCACTTCTGCAGCTTTCACTCCAGGGGAGAAACAAGAAAAGCAACACAGGTTAGTTAGCCTCCTATTATGTATGAGCCTTGCCATAAGATGAATAGTTTCACAGAACATTCACATCTGACAAATTCATTTTGTGCCTATGATGAATCACAACAAAGGTTGAATAACTGGTTAATCATGTCTGAATACTGGCAAAATATACACATTATCTAAGCCACAGAATATCAGATACACCCCTATATTAAGACTAATAAAATGACTGATGTTTCACCAATTACTACGTTTTCTTAGACTCAGTCATCCTTCCTTCTAATTAAGGTTTCTGAAGACACCTTATTGAAAGATTGTGCCTGTTTATGAGAGTACCCAATCAAAGTAAAGCCTCCCTTCTTTAAAATGAATGAGATCAACAATGCAAACTCCTACAGTAGGTCCTTTCTAATGTCTTCTGTGGCTATCCAAGTGTGTTTTCTCTAATAATAATAGCAATCCAAACTTTTTTGACTGTGTGTTATTTGTGGCCTTTGGATGAGACCATAATCTTGATCTTGTTGGTCAAGAAAGCTGCTTCTGCTGCTTCTTCTCCTTCTTCTTCTTCTTCTTCTTCTTCTTCTTCTTCTTCTTCTTCTTCTTCTTCTTCTTCTTCTTCTTCTTCTTTTCTCCTTTTCTTCTTCTCCTCCTTTTCTTCTTCCTCTTATTCTTTTATCCTTCTTTCTTCTTCCTCCTGTCTTTTTCTTCTCTTCTCCAAAGTCATCTACAGAGTCACAAAGATTATGAAAATAGATTATCTGCAACTTTTGATGAACAAGGAGTAATTTGTTGGTTTGTCAGTCATTTTATTAACTCATACCCTGTCCTGCAAATAATCTAAGTAGTTAGTATTGTTAATGCAGTCAGATGCAGCAAAGAAATATGCTCAGTACTGATAATAAAGACATCATCCTGTCCAAAGAATATGTGTGCCAGTGGAGCACTAAGGTGGGGTGAGGGAACCCAAATAGCACTGATGTATAAGCAATACTGCTTCCACTTCCCTTTTCTTGACTATTACTGACATATCAACAACCTGTTGTCAAATTCTACCTAACTTTCGGTCACTGTGAGCATCTTCTTCTCTGTTGGTCTCTCATTTTCATCTCTGTTCTCATCGGTCTTCTGACTATGAAGCGCGGCCTTGTCCTAAAATCTAGAGATTACTCATTTTCCTCCTTAGTCTTAAAGACTTTGAGACTCCAGTGAAATCCTCACATAAATCCATACTAAGTTGTTTTTGTTTAACACAACAATTTAAATAAAATACTAGCTTTGTACCAGGATTTTAAAGTACACAGGGGTCCTGATTTTATTGAACTTTTTTCATAAATATATAATAATGTTTTCACCCTCCATTAAACTTCCTCCCACGACTCCTCCCAGATCTTCACCACTTTCCCATTCACCCAACTCCATGCCCCTCTCTTTTTCTCACTGTCTCCCTTGATATTTACTTATCTCTATGTCAAGAAATACTATTAGCATTCAGAGTCACAGGTAGCTTTAGTGGTTGAAGCTCTTCAATATCCTGTCCTGACTGAAAAAAAATACCCTCCAAATATCAACCATGCTCCTATAAGAAACAACTACCCTTCCAGATGACAGCTGTCAATTTAATCCATCTCTTCTGCTTTTCCTGCCCATATACGTTGCTAGTAATCAATGACAGCACACTCCACTGAGCTGGGTGAGACCTCAAAACTCTCTCTCAACAGAGTAACTAGGCATACTTTGCTATTAGACTCCAAGGAAGATAAACATTTACCATCTCTGTTCTTAATCCTTTCCCTTTGAACCTAAGTGACTATCCTGATACTTTGAACCTTACTGTACTATTTCCTTTCTATACCTTTAGTCATGTGAGTCCTTCTGAGGCATGGGCTCTTAGGGAAGAGCCCTGCTGCTTAGCTCTTTATTGATTATACCTTCACAATTGTTATCCTTTTTATTGATGTTCAAAGTTAACATAGAAAGCAATGCATTTTTATTATGCAGCCTGCAGGTGCCTTTGTCAGTAACTGTATGAGAGCATGTATTGCCTCAAATTCAATAAATGAACTACACCATCTAGTGGGGAACCCAGAGGTAGTATTTAACTAACTTGACAGGACAACAATTTCTATCATCTTCTGTATTGACTGAACTCCATACTTTAAAAAATGAGTGAAAGAAAAACAATATGGGGAGGTGCATACAGTTGGATGTACAATAATATATGGAGTTGAGATTCTATGATAACCTATAGAGTTAAAAAATGTAATATTCAGACATGGTTGTGTGAAAAAAAAATCACCCATATTTTGCCAGAAAGCTGTCCACTTGTTGGTAAAATCTAGGCTTTCATCTATCCTATAAGCTATTTTTTTTGAGAATTTTATATATGAGTGCTGAGTTTATATCATTTCCCCCATCCCTCTAACTCCTCCTCTGCACTCTTAAATTCATGATGTCTCTTTCTTACTATTGTTATACACATATATGTATAAATACATATATACCACCTGCTGAATTCATTTAGTGTTACTCATATATGTATTTAGGGATGACCCTTAGTATTAGATAATCATTTATGGGGTTCACTTCTAGGGAAGACTGATTCTCACTCTCAGTAGTCAATTAACGGTCTGTAGCTCTTCTTTGAGGGGAGGGGCTTTGTGAGATTTTCCCTATCATGTTGGCATGCCAAATGGTGTTATCTTTGTCCTGATATTGTTTAAGTGACCAAATTGTTAAGATTTCATGACTGTAGCTTCTCTGTCTTATGTAGAAGACACAATCTTCAGAAAATAATGGTTTCTGGCTCTTAAAATTGTTCTGTGCCAGTTTCCAAGATTTTCTCTGAACCCTACTTATGAGGGTTGTGATTTTTAATGAATCAGCTGCGGCTGGATGGTTATTCCCTGCAGATTGACTAGTTGTGGATTCTGTGATGGCCTCTGTCTTCTGGAAAAAGAAGTTTCTTTGATGTTGGGTAAGTGATGGGAGATGTCATTCTGTAAATATGTTTCTCATACTGGTTAATGAATAAAGCACTGTTGGCCAATAGGAAAGCAAGATAGGTGGGGCTAGGAGACAAGGAGGAGAGAGAAAGTAGTAAGGAGGGGTGAGCATTGAGAGATTGGAGAAAACAGACGACAGCCCCACTCTCTGGTAAGATGAGACCACGTGGAAGTACTTAGATTAATAGAAATTGGTTAATAATTAAGACAGCAGATAAGAAACTAGTACCTGGCCAACAGCATTATATCAAATACAGCGTGTCTGTGTGTTATTTGGGGCTGGCGTGGCGGTAGGACCAGACCAGTGGGAAAACCTTGTAACAGGTAAGTGCTATACTAAACTATGGGCAGGATAGTATAAAGCCAAAGCCAGGAGGTAGCACATACCTTTAATTCCAGCACTCAGGAGGAAGAAGCAGGCAGGACAAATCTCTATGAGTTGAAAGACAGCCTAGCCTACAGAGTGAGTTCCAGGACAACCAGAGCTACACAGAGAAACCCCGTCTTGGAAAATAAGATCAATCAAATAAATAAATAAATAAATAGAATGAAGTCAGAAATTATATTGGTTTGGGAAAGCAACAGTAGTGGGTTTTCTTCTAGGTTCTATGACCTCATCAGCAAGACTACTTAGCTATATTTATAGTAACAGACATGAATTCCCTCCTATTGATCAAGCCTTAAGTCCAATTACATAGCTGCTGGTTACCACCAAACTGTAAGTGCCACAATTGCCACTTTGGGGATATCTCACTGTTCTCATTGTTACAGTTTCTAGGTGTAGGTGTAGCATCTAGATAAAGCTATTGATTGCTTCCTTTGGCAGTTTACACAGCACTTTCCTGTGCTGTGAAATGTAGTCCTCAGAGAGGAGGCTTTCAGGTCATATCCAGCTTGATTGCTCCATATCCTGTGTCCAAAATGTAGAGTGTCTTCAGCAACAGGGACTCACTTTCAACTTCTCAGAAGAAACTGAGGGAAATGGCAACAGACTATACAGTTTTGTGGAGTGGAGTGGAGCAGAGTGGAGCATATCTTGGACTCCCAGAGTGTATTATGGACTCCCCTGACAAAGAACTTTAAAAAGAGTTTTCTCCTCCCTGATACTGGGAATTTTGGTAGTCTATGGCTTCTAGGGGAAGCATTAACACTAAATGGTTTAATTTCATTACACACACACACACACACACACACACACACACACACACACATTCTTACATATACATGAAGAACCCTTGCCAATTGCCATCACCAGGTTCATAGCAGTATAGGATGACAAACAGGAGCAGTGGGACTAACTGACTCCTGAGCTACTTATCATCAGCTTTCTTCACAATTAATCCAGGATTTCCTTTGTGAGCCTCAAACTATCCTTACCCTCCAGGGTCAACCAGACTTGCTGGCCACCACAATACTAAAAAGTTGGAGATGATTTACTAACAGCAAAGAGAGGTGGTCTTTGTATCTTCCTAGGAGAGAAATGTTATTTCTATGTTAATCAGTCAGGTATATTGAAAGACAAGACCCAACAACTCCAGATCGATGTTCAAAACTTTAAGAAACAGCTTGATACATCTGGCCAGTGGATCACTGATAGATATGGAACTGGATGCTAGCCCTCTTAATTCTGCTTCCCCTCTTCTTAATTCT